GTGATAAGGTAGTTGAGAGTAAATTCGAAAGCGCCCAATCTATCAGTAGACGACCTACTGCCACGCTATCGCACACCTGTGCTTCGTCTAGCATTGTCCCTTTATGCGGAAGGTACCATCTTTTTTCCAGTTCTTTCACCTCTTGATAACATTCCGCGACGGCAGATTGAATCTCTGATAACCCACAAAAATGAAGGCTAAATTGTCTATATGTGTTGATCGTTACCAGATTTGGGATGCCAATGGATCCAGGGAATTTCTTGATGCACTTGGCTTCACTGACAGAGAACAAGGCGATCTTGGACCTGTTTATGGATTCCAGGTTTGTGTCTCTTCGATGCAGGTTTCCATCAGAAAACGTCTAGCTTTTCCTTAGGGAATGCACTGGTTATGACACTTCCGATATATTTCATGCTGCTTAAATTCATTGTCTTCAGTGGCGCCATTTTGGTGCAACGTACAAGGGCCCGAACGCTAACTATGAAGGTGAAGGAGTCGATCCAGCTTGCTGATGTAATCCATCAAATCAAGACAAATCCAGATAGTCGGCGAATCATCCTCAGTGCATGGAATCCATCAGGTATGCTGACTTCCTAGAAACCTGAGGTTTTGCATGTTTTCAGGAGTTTTGTGTTCTGTAAATCGTTACGTAAATTTGTGTCCTGTCTCTGATCCTGCAAAATGCTTTCAGATTTGAAAAATCATGGCCCTTCCTCCGTGCCATACGCTCTGCCAGTTCTATGTACAAGATGGAGAACTTAGCTGTCAGTTGTATCAAAGAAGTGGAGACATGGTACTTAGATTTTCCTACGTCAGGACAAATTTGCTTTTTTTGTGTGTCTGCCTTCAAATTGATCTTCTCTAATTCATTATTCAGGGACTTGGTGTTCCTTTCAATATTGCCAGTTACGGCTTGTTCACCCACATGATTGCTCACGTGTGTGGCTTGAAGGTAGGTTTTCACTTTGTCGGTGGGGTGAACATGTTTTTGCGAGCTGTCTTCAAAAAAACCATTAAATTTTTGAAGGCTGGTGATCTTGTCCATACGCTGGGAGATGCCCATGTGTACAAGAATCATATCGACGCTCTCAAAGTCCAGGTATTCCCAAAGTCACGTTACATATACGTTTTACTGGGGCTCAGAGGTCGCTTCAATAGTTTGCCGCTATCGAGATTTATAAATTCCGCTGTAGGCGAACTATGCTACTGTATTGCTTTCGCTGACTCTGCCCAAGTGGAAAATCCGCGATTTGCACGTACTGCACTGTAAGCGGAAGAAATTGATGATGGCTACGTGAGCACAGCTTTCTGGAGCGCCTTCATATTTTGCGATACGATTGCTTGGATCGCACGACCGGAGGCCCTCGGCCGCCAATCAGTGGACTGTCGCAAAGGCAGAATTCAACAGGGCCGCGTTCATGCGCTAAGATCGGGTCGAGGAAGTATGAACGCGCTCTTGTGCTGTCCGCTTACATTCCTGAAAAATCAAATCAGTAGTGCCTTGTTACAATTTCTTGAAAAACTTTCCCATTGTCTCCCGTACCAACTTGTTTACGAGGCTTTAGGCTGCGTTCATACTTTGCGTCAGCACACGCGAGCGTTTCGAGTGTATACCAGCGCCAGTGAATAGAAAAGTATAGGTTTTGATCTTGCATGTGCCAGCGTACAGCAGCGTTTCGAGCGACTCGGAAAGTATAGGGATCGATACAGCGCACTTCAGGGTTACCGCGGGCAGCTTGAGCTTGGGCAAAACTACTCGCAAAAACGCTGGCGCACGCTAGATCGATATCGTTAATTTCCTAGTCGTTCGAGACTTGCTGTACGCTGGATCGATACCTAAACTTCCCTAGTCGTGGGAAACGCTGCCGTATGCTGACGCGAAGTATGGGCTCAGCCTTACTGCTCACTGTCGTGGCTTGAGATAGCCTGTGAAAGTAAGCAGTGCATGGTGCACATCTAAATCTTTGAGGGTTATAACGCCTTCCTAACAGAATTTAGAGGGTAGTGCAAGGTGTCTTGATAATTATCAGTATTACCTTGGAGTCAATTGCAGCTCGAGCGAACACCTACCGCCTTCCCAACGATAGAATTCGGTGAAGGAATCAACACAATAGATGACTTCACGGCAGAGAAAATTATACTGAAGAACTATAATCCTCAAAAACCGATCAAGATGGAAATGGCGGTTTGATTTGGACATACCGATGGAAGTTCTCTATTTTCTAACTTTTTACGTTTTCATATCGAACTTTTTCTGATCTCAATCCGACCTTTTTCCGTGAACTTTTCTAGGGTTCTTCAATAGTAACACAGAAAATGTCTTGTAGATACTCTAACCTTTTTTTGTCATTAATCTCTACTATCGTCATATGTGACACAACCTCGACTTACCGGTTTGGAGACCCGCTCCATAACTTCTTTGTTCAAAACGGTCTCATCACGAGTTTGAAAGTCGCATTCCTCCTCTGTTGTTACTGAAGATAAAGATTTCTATCCCTTTAGCGCCAATGAGAAGACAGTTTGTACGTCTGTATCTCGAACATGGGAGGCCGCGGCTTGGTTGTGAGCGCAGCCAATTAAAAAGCTAAAGGGTTCAGCCAAAAACGCAGATTGCGGCGGAAAAGGCGCACATGGAACAGGAAAAGGTGTCGATGCCCCTCCTCCTCACCCCTTTATTTCTCTAAAAAAGGCACCCTGACGCGCTCGCAACCATTTGTTTGGTCACGCCCTCTCCGTTCGAGATATGGCGTGCGCACATCAGTGTCGCCATGTTTTGCTTTGCATGAGAACTTAAACCTTTTCATAGATTTTCGAACTGGTATTTGTGTGAATCTTTTAACTTACTTTCTTTTGTATACACTCTCTTGTTCAGGTAAGATAATAAAAATGGGCATTTTTCTCAGTTTTTCACGGACATGGAATTCATGTTCAACTTCATTTGAGATAAGGAAAAATTTGTCGTGCGCAAATTCTTCTATGCAATATCCGTAGCAAAGCTATTAGACTCTTTGAAAGGTTCCCTCCCACTTCTGCCACTTTTCGGATTTATTTCTCTGTTTCAATACATTTGAAGGCTAGCGAACATATGCACCATTATTACCTGCGACAATTAACCGTTTATTAGGTAACTTATAGATGCCACGATGCCTCCTCGGATTTTCACGAAGAAAGTTTACCGAGCATCCCAACCAAGTTGCTCCCTACTGTGTAACTGATTCTTCTGCAACTGGTTCGACAATGCAAGAAAGAGACGATGGTACGATGGAGCCTGGTATGTGATGGGGGACCATTGGCGTCGCGCGCGACAATTGCAAATACCGTGTGGTTGGGGCATCCCCACAGGGGTCGTATTTGGCCGGCCATGGGAAGGGGGGGTCGTAGTGGCAGTGGCGGCAGTCAGTATCGAGCGCGCAAAGTTGTCAATGTGCTGAGTCCTGTACAACGAAACTTGCTTTGTAGAGAACTCGGATATGCAAAAAAATAGTACAAAACTTTCATTCATCAAACTAATCCGAAATAACTGCAAATATTAATAAGTCGACAATCTCGTAAGTCCGTTGGTGACTAAACAGTACAACTCAAACTCTGGTTCGCTGCCAATGATATGGCGTGTCCGCGGTCGCGCTTGGCGCTGAGCCAACCTGTTTTTTTCTCGACAAGCGACAGGACTACCATATCGTTCATATCAGACGTTTTCCAGCAGTTGGTCTCCTTTATCGGAGTCAGCGATTGGTGGAGCACGAATCTGGCAGCGTTGACAGGGACATGTTCCATCATACACCGCAAACGGAAACACTTGTTAAACAGGTGCAGCAGGCTCGCATGACCTCCCTGTAACGCTTAATAGACAATTTGCTCGCGTGAACAGACATTACGCACAAGTTGCACCATCCCATCACCTCTGCGCGGCCCTCAGTGCGCGGCGCATCCAAAGTTGGCGTGATCGGCGCTAAACGAACCATATCCTGCTCCTGCTCCACCACAGGATACGTTCTACATGCGTTCCTGGCTATTCGAACACGCTCACTTGAAACGGTACACAGGAAACGGGTTTTTCGCGCAGCTGGGAGTGTTCCTCAAGAAATCCCCAGCGAGATCTCATGAATCCCGAGAGCTTCAGAAACAGTTCAAGAGGTTTTTAGAAAGAGAAAATCTTCAAACACTCGAAACCATTTTCAGATTTGTGAAATGTTGAGTTACAAAAAAAATATATTGATTCAAACCTGTTCGGTTGAAACCACTCCCCAACGAATCCCTATGGCAGATTTCTCTGTGATTTTTGCGACGTTCATAAACGTTTTAGTACTTTTAGGAAGTGCAAACCTTCCTCTACACGAATACGGTCTCCTCTTCCCCACAGGTCCGCTTTTGAGGAAGTTATGGTCCTTCAAAGACACCTAACTCAGCTGGAAATTCTCGCTCCATGGCTAAAATTGCCGAATAATCTCCGGTCTACAGCCGAACTACACGCGCTTCTGCTACCGTACCTCCAATGAATCGGGTAAATTGCATTTTAGCGGCGGTTGTTATTTATCTTCTTACGTTAGTGAGTACAAGCCCAACTTTCTCTTACGCTCTGTCTCATATTGGAATAGCGTTGTTAACACGGTGTGTCGCTGAATGCCGCTCCAGGAGGGAGTCATCAGTTAACGAATGCTCATTGAATTTAATTCGGCGATACATCGTTGTTTTATTACCATGTGTGTTTCAAAACGGCCATCGAAGAAGTTCATCATACGAGTTTCTCATAATACGATTGTACCGTTTTTTGTTTGCAATCATCTCTGTATTGTTCTATTATGTCATGACTTCAAGTCGTCCATTTAGTATGGGCACCTTCATACAAGTAGAATTTCATAGTGGGCGTTTCATAGTTTCATTTAAGGCGAAAAAAAACCGAACGGCAAAAAAAGGGGGGGGGTCGTACCGAACCCCCAAAAAAAAGGGGGGGGTCGTCCCAACCCCCCGAAAAAGAGGGGGGTCGTACAGGCTCGA